ATATATATATATACACACACACACACACACACACATATACACACACACACACACATACATGCATACGTATATGCCTACTGGCTGGGCGCAGTGGCTCACACCTGTAGCTATAGCACTTTGGAAGGGCCAGGGAGGGAGGAACATTTGAGTCCATGAGTTCAAGACCAGCCTGGATAACATAGCAAGACCCCCATCTCTACTTAAAAAAAAAAAAAAAAATTAGCTAGGTGGGGTGGGGCTCGCCTGTAGTCCCAGCTAGTCAGGACACTTAGGTGGGAGGACTGCTTGAGCCCAGAGGTCAAGGCTGCAGTGAGTTGTGACTGTGCCACTGCACTCAGTCTAGCTGACAGAGTGAAACCTTGTCTCAAAAAAATAAAAAGCATATTTAACTGCTTACAAAACTAACAGCATTTGTGAAGAACTGAGAGTAAAGCCTTTCCCTCCGAGTAAATCCATCTGTACAAACTGCTTATAAATGTGTCATTGAATAGGGAGTCTATGGCTCTACACCAGGTTTAAAAGAATTTAATGCCTAGGCATGGCTTTTTATGTACAATTGCAAAGCATGTGCACGCTACACACACTCTTTAAATACTAGGCAAGGCTCAAAGACAAGTGCTCAGTACATGCTCCTACCATAATGCAACGAAGGTTACAGTATGCAGTTAACAGGTAAACCCATTAAGTATTGCAGTTTGATGTTATTCTATACACTTTTAATGCTTATTGCAAGTTTTGGATAGTTCGAATCTGATTCTTATGATGAAGATGAGGACTTGTAAGGGATCACTAATGACTCAATTTATGACTGACGGTGTCATTACTGATTAGTGAAAAATGTTTTCCCAGCATTCCTTTTTCGAAGTTTTGATTATGTTTATCTTGAGATTACAAGACAAGCCATGAAAGGAACTCTTATCTGCAACTATTTGTCTGTGTATATCAGAATTTTCCTCCCGAAAATATAGGAAGAACCTGGATGTGTTTACATCACCCACAAATCATTAATTTCAAATTTCCAGGTATGAATGATTTCACTGATTCCATTAGCTGCTTTTAATGTTATACAGTATAGCTTCTGGGTTCCATAAAAATAAAACAGGAGGCCGGATGCAGTGGCTCACGCCTGTAATCCCAGCACTTTGGGAGGCCGAGGCGGGTGGATCATGAGGTCAGGAGATGGAGACCATCCTGGCTAACACGGTGAAACCCCATCTCTACTAAAAATACAAGAAAATTAGCCAGGCGTGGTAGCAG